AATTTTACTAACTTAAACCCTTTTTAAAATTGATGAAAATGAAAAATAATTAAAACCCTTTTTAAAATTGATGAAAATGAAAAATAATTAATTTGATTTAATATGTTATAAAGGATGATTTATTCAAGGTAACAATAAAATTTAAAACATAAAAAATTGAAAACAACAACTCTTCAACGGTTGGCCTTGGCAACTGTCTCGATTTCATCCTTCTTCTTGATGACATAGCTAGAAATACAGGGACATAAAATTAGTTTAATGCACCAAAAAAGAGAAATATAATAACTTCATCAGATCGCTTAAGCAATCTTTGGTCGCTTAAGCGATTTGCTTGTTAGATCTGCATATAAGAAAAGATCGCTTAAGCGACCTTATGTCACTGAAGCGATCTGGTGGCCACCAGATCTGATCTGAGCAACAGATTGCTTAAACGGTCTGCTATTCAGATCTGCAGATAGTGATCTTATGTCGCTTAAGCGATCCGATCTTATCTGCAGATTGCTTGCTTTCTTGCTACTAATCAATTCGAACCTAATTTTCTAGATCTACATGTGATCGATTCTGGCAACTGCTTCTCTGGTGGCCAACTTGCTTGCAAATTAAGCACTTATTCATCCTCTAGGGGACCTCAAAGGTTGATGGAATACGCTTACCTCTTTTTTTTTTCCCCTTTTCTATCTTCTTGAATGGTGGATAGATGATAATGTGAACCAACTCTGGCAATACCACCCACTGCTCTTCTGGAGGAACTAGATATATCATTTCCAAATAAGCCAGCATGTAGTGATTTGCCATATAGAGAGGGGACCAAAGTTCCATGTAAATTATTGAACCAAAATCTGGCTTTTGTTGGTGTTTCAGTGCTCCTAGTGCTTGAGGACAAGGTAAACGTTGAATATCAAGCACTTTACAACTGTAAGTTTTACTAAGAAGGTTAACTAGGGCATCCGAACCATAGCCGTGCACGGTGAACTCTTGAGCATTAAGAGGATAGGCAAACAGTGCATTTGACAGTTCCATACGCTCTCGCAATAATTTTTCAACTGACGGAACAAGGGTTGTGGTAAAATTATCTAACTCCATACGACGCTCATGGAACCACAATGACAATGTCCTCTGGTTTGCATCAAAAATGGAAACTATTGAAAACTCTCTTTCTATTAACAACTTCGAATTTATGGACTCGGCTATGTTTGTGGTCATAACATCAAACCTTCTTCTAGGAAAGTAAGCTCCACTCCATCGCTCAAAACCAACATCATGCTCAAGATACTTAGCAATTCTATCATCCTTGATTCGGATTTGCCAGAAATGCTTCTCGAACTCATCAACTCGATAAGCTTTTGCTGTCATGTAGTATGTCTGAATGAGGTCAGCACACTTAAACTTTTGTTTTATGTTCTCACCAACGTGCCTCATACAGAATTTGTGATGTGCTTAAGGGTAAATAGTGGCAATCCCCTTCTTTATAGAGTTGTGCCTATCGGATATTATGCACAACTCATCACTGTTAGGCACTATCGTACATAATTGCTGAAAAAACCAAGTCCACGACTTGTCGTTCTCATAGTCAACGACACACCATGCAACGAGATATGTGTGATTCTCGCTGTCCTATGCAGTGGCCACCAACAATGTACCTCCATACTTTTCCGTCAAAAAACAACCATCAATAGCCAACACCTTTCTCATGTTTACAAAACCCCTTATAGCAGAACCATAAGCAACAAAAAAATATTTAAACCTCATATTCTTGTCCCACTTCAAAGCCGTCTTGCTACCTTAGTTTGTCAACTCAAGCATATAACGGTACACTTCTAATACTGCGTACTCGTGCTCCGGCGTGCCCCTCACAAAATCTTGTGCATGTTGTCTCCCTTTCCAGCATTTCCAATAACTAACAACTCATCCCAACTCTGTGCGCACAAGTCTCTGAATGTCTTTAAGAGATGGACATTTCCCTTCAACAAACTGACTTTTGACAAATTGTCCAATAACATCAGCAGAGGCTTGTCGATGCTCACCTTAAATATGTCCCAAACCACATGTGTGCTTACGGGTATATGTGCTAACAATAAATTTTTCGGACTCCACCAACCTTCTACAATAAACCCACCACTTGTACTTTCGGTCACGACATGCAACCATCACAATCGATGAATTAGACTGTTTGGTGATGAACTCAAAATTACCTTTTACGGCAACAAGTTTTAGCTTCCTCACTACTTCCTCTTTTTTGTCAAATAAATACCCTATGCGCAACTTTGATCCATCCATAAAAACATGAGTTGATTCACTACTACCTGCAATTGCCCCCTCTGAACATGCATAAAGGACCATAGTGTTCTCTTCCTCACAAACTACACCTTCTGCATAATCTGTATTTAAAGGAATCTCTACATCTGCGAGAACATGTACAGGGTCCTCCTCCTCAACATTTTCATTTTGCCGCACATGACCAACCTCTTCTATAGTGTCCTCCTCACCACCCAAATCATCGCCTACTCTTGATTTTTCAACTAAGAAATCAATACCCTCGTAGTTCAAATTAAAACCAGCATTCTCTCCGCCAACTTCCTCGTTATCCCATTCCTTTGAACCAACTTCCAACGGTTTATCTACAAAAGAAACCCTTAAAATCGGCCTCGAACCATTATCGCCCACATCAATCATATATAACTTCACACCTTCATCTGACTTTAATATAACAGGAGGTACCTTATAATGTTCAAGAACTCTGCTTAAAACATACTTCTCAACTATATCACTACGTGAGCAACTCAAATCACCTTTTCTAATTATTTCATCAATCAACTCATCAAAACTAACCTCTGTGCTCACAGTAATTGGTATAACTTCTTTGCTCTTCCCAATCCACTTCTAGCAACTTTCTTCCTCTACCCACTCACCAAAATATTCAACACTCAAAACAACTTGTCCCATGTCTAATAATAGTCAAGTACCTATAATGCAAGAAAAACAAATATTATTAACTGATGTATTAAGGATTGAAAGATTTTAAAAAGCATCTGCAAAGTCGCTTGAGCGATCTGATGTATCGATTAAGCGATCTGGTATATCGTTTATTAGATCGCTTAAGCAATATAATGGATCGCTTAAGCGATCTAGTATAAATAAGCCCGATCGCTTAAGCGATCTGCTGCCATACACCAAACTTATAGCAGATCGCTTAAGCGATCTTCTGCCATTTACCTGATCGCTTAAGTGACATATGATCTGTTGCATTATACTAGACATACCAGATCACTTAAGCGATACACTAGATCGCTTAAGCGATCCATCATATCCAGAACACATTTTCAGTCATCTCCACCTACAATCAGTGCTATCACCCCTAACTTCCCACAATGCAAGAAAATATTCAACAAATTTCACTCCTTTCAACTTATATTACATCAAACACAACCTAACAACCTAAACAACTAAATCAAAATCATAACCCAAACTCAATCCATCATTAAATTTTTGTAAATCGAAATATAAAATGGAAAGGGGAGATACACATACCTAGACGAAATGTCAAGAGGAGAATGAGGAGGAGGAGGATCTATGGCAAAGAAGATGTTAATGGCAGAGGAAGAAGATAGTGTTAATGGCGGGAAGAAGAAGATGTACAGGAATGAGGAAGAAGAAGATGTAGACGAAGAAGAAGATGTAGACGAAGCTTAGAAGAAACAACAACCAGGGAAGGGATGCGTTAATGGCGGGAGGAAGAAGAATAAGGTGTTTGGGTTTGGGTTTGGGTTTGTTTGCAAGAATGTCGGCTCTTTGGGGACATATTATAATTTTTAAAAGATTACACAATACTTCATTAATCCTAATTAACCACTAATCATGATTAATTAACCTTAATCAATAATAAGACTATTTACTTAACACTTTCAAACTACATGGCCTTTTAATTAAATTTGAACTTAATTTGTCATTTTAATCAAATGCCCCAAGTAGAGGTGTGTATGGGTGATTTTGTGTTTTGATTTTGGGAAACTGAAAATGAAGATGAAAATCTAAGTTTTAAAGCTGATTTTAAAGAAACAAGTGAAGTTTTAAGAAACATTTTCAACTGAATTTGAGAGGGGATTTGTGAATTGTGAAGGGGAGGAGTTGAAAGAACCTGAATTTTTTTTATATATATTAGAACATCTCGGAAAAAAAAATTTATATGACCAAAACTCTTTATTATAAAGAGTTTGTCCATAAAAACAAAAGTCAAATAGACTCTTTATTCTTTAAATATAAATTAAAGAGTGGGTTTGACTCTCTACATCTAGAGAGTCAAATTTCACTCTCTATCCCAATTTTATTTAATAAATTACAGGTTTCTAAGCATTTTATTATTAATTTTCTCTTCTATTAAGTCTCTCTCCTATTTATTAAGTCTAATTTAAAGAGTCTATTAGATTGGAATACAAAATTTGTTCTTTATATCTAAAAATTAATAATAATGCTCTTTATTTATGTAAAATATGCTCTTTAAAATAAAGAGCATGATTATAATATTATAATATTGGGTTGATATTTTGCAGTTTATACGTATAGTTATGTTTGTTTCAGATTCTTAAAAGTTGTATTTTGCTCGGAAAAATTAATAAATAAATATATAATGTTTGTTTTGTTGCTACTTTTAAGCATAAGCCCTGAACCAATCAGTAATGTTTATGTTTTTGATTGAATATTGTTGAAATGGAAGTAATAAAATTAATGTTTCAGCTTATTCAAAATTGTGTTTTGATTGGCAAATTAAACGAATAATGTCTGTTCATTACGTAACCATTAAGAGCTTACAATAGGCCCCTTGGAAATTGATTTGTTTGTTGAAGAAAAATTTACACAAGAAATTATGCAAAAGTTTCTAAGCTTTTATAACATAATTATAAATTTCTAATTTGGTGAGTAACTAATTGACATAAATATTAAGTACAACAATAACATGATAAATTAATTAAGCAGAAACACAACTACGCAAGTTGAAAACAGTCTGCCGAAATTTGCCTATACAATACAATAATCAAAAGGCACCTTTATTTCAAAACATTATGTGGTTCAGCCTATCTAAATAATCAAAGGCACACTGAACTTTACAAATCTACTACTACAACAACAGAAAAGTAATTGGAATATAATGAATTTGAAAACAAAACCTACAAATATTAAATCATATATAACCATGGAATCAACAGTGACAGCTATAAAATGGTCATATGGTCAACAAGACAAATTGTCTTAAACCCTTTCTGCCAAGAGCAGTTGTTCTAGCTCCTCCCTCCGCCGCTCCAATTCCTGTGATTGTTTGCAAGAATTCATTTAAAAAGTCTCTGATTGAAATTCATATTTATACAACTACCGCAAACAAATGAAAAAGAACTTAAAAACAATGTATATCAATTAACTGAAATGGTCATATATACTAATTACTTGCTCGCAAACAAATTCATACTCATCATAAATCTTACCACCTAATATTCTTCAGATCATAGTGGACCTGAAAGAAATTCTAATATCCTAATATTACCCAAGGAAGCAACAAAATCTGAAGTCCCTCCCACCCAATGGTCAAAGCAATTAAAATTGATTTGTATAAACCTCAATAACTGATGATTGTCAATCCACCACAGTGATAAGCACCAACTGTACAGCATTTCAAGTTTTATGATTTATAAAGAATGACACTGCATATTGATTCATTCACATTAGTGTTTTCTAAGATGCTAAGAAATAGGTGCATGATATGATGTGATAAATTTAGTAGAGAGGAACAAACTGTGGCAGTGCTATAAATCACTGTTTGGGAGCAGTGCCAGGGGGAGTGGAAGCACATATTTAAAAAAAAAAAAAAAAAAAAAAATGTAGAGTTATTACAGGCCTATAGCACACAAATAAGATGCTTAATGATGCCACAGTACTGGCATTCATTTTCTGAATCCCCTTTTGAAAATTTGTAGCCTGAGAGGACCTCCATATAATGCTTATTTCAATAACACATAAACATCTAGGAGAAAGATTAAAAAAAATAAAATAAACCAGAAATAGCATGCAGACAGAACACTAATTTGTACTCTTGTAAAACGATGGCTTACCTCTAAATCCTTGACTGCTTGGTCCCTCGTCATTTCTTTCTGTTGACGAGAACGTTTGATCCAGCCAATGCATAGAATTCCCTAGAAATTGGTAGTTGCAATTATGTGTTAAATATTACCAGTTTCATTTAAAATTTCAATTATAAATATACAAAAAAAGCATAATAGAGAGAGTTTTGAGTGCAGCAAACCAATAAACATCATTAAGTATCAAATCAAGCAGAAGCGTGTCTAAAAACGCTAGATGCATAAAGATTAAAGACTTCTTAGGACATCATTAATTGATGAAATCAAGAAACTTTGAGACTAGAGGAAACTAATAATTATACTCTTGAGCTGATATTTCCAAATAACAGAGTAAAGTGAGCTTTGGTTAACAAAACTAAGAACCAATTGGATTTAAGGTAAGGACTCTTCATCAGTAAATGTTGACATCGGTTCTAAAAATTTTCACAGGCAAATTACTTGTACCCATTCAACCAGCAATCGAAGTAAGAAAAAAAAAATATACTCCTGGCTTAAACCAATAATATTTAGAACATCATTATCATCTTACCGAAAAGACATAAACTAAACCACAAGCAAGAAGCATATAGCATGCTATATTTTGAAGAAGAACAAGATCTTTCCGGCTTCCAGAATCGTCAGAGAAAGCTCTTGTCATTACTGCAACACTGAAGGAAAAACCATAACTTAAAAAATTGAATGTGATCACTAATAGGTGTGTGTTTCAGTGTGAGAGTGACTGTGATACTTTAATTCAAAGTTGAACCAAATTATACGAGGTGAAAGAAATACTGTAATATTATATACAAAGTTAAATTTATCTAATAAAATGTTTCTGCAAAAATCCTGTTCTGACACTATTAATGATGAGAATCAAACAAATTTTGAGTGGTTTTAACTAAACTGATGTGTTTGGTATAGGGTGGGTCAATTAAATCCTATTTCGCCAATTCAAATGGCCTTATGGAACGATAGCCAAGAGTAGAGAAAGAACCTAGATATAATTCTATGCCAAAAAGAAGTTGTTTGGGTTGAACAAGTTTTGGGAGATTTCATAAAAACTACCACTAACTTGGCCACAAGGAACAATGGCCTAGAGAAGAGCGAAGAAAAAAAGAGAGAGAGAGAGAGAGAGAAAGAAGCAATGGAAAAGTAACCTATCATATGAGTACGAATTCTGATCAATTTAGTATCATGTTGTTCAGGTTGATCAACATTTTAGGAGCCTTCAATTAAAAGATAAAATATAGGGACAAAAAATATCATATATCTTACGAAAATAGAAGACATACAAGATCTGCAGCATACCCCTACCGGCCCAATACTCCAATACCTGCAAAATTTTACCGAAATATAACATTGAAGACAACACATGATGTGAACAAAATCAAACAGCAACAACAAAAACAGAAGAATGAAGTATGCATAAAACAAAAATTCCCCAAAAGTGAGTCAGAAATAGCAAATGACACATTTTGAATTAATACATAAGTAATGCCATATGAAATTATCAAACGAACAAAAAATAAAATAAAATAAAATAATTGAAACAACTTGACATACAAATCTTCCAGTAGTTTTAATCTGACTTCTATCTTGAAGCTACTATGAAGTTGAAATAAATTGACGTAAGAAGTTGTTGTCAGGTACCCACTCCAGTATATTTATCTTCTATATTCTACATACTAAAGAGAAAGTTGTTTGCCAAGTATCTACTTGCATATCCTTTTCTTCAAAGTTCTAATCCTGACAGGAGCTCCAGAATATATGAAATTTGTCCATAAAGAACAGAAATCTCTATCAATTCACCAGGAGTTTAGTTCAGCGAAAAAAAACCCCACAGGTGAAAAGTATCTTGCCAACAGTCAATAGATTAGAATATAATCCAGCTGGATCCAACTTTTGGTACTTTTCTTCATCCTATATTAACAAAGTCCTCTTTCTCTTTCCTCAGAAAGTTACCCAAACAATAGGTCCAGGTCGCAGAATTTCCTTTATTCAAGCTTAATATAATGTTTTTCCCCCTTTAACTTTGATAAATCGTTCATGTATTAGTCAGAATTTGGTTGCTGAAATTAACTCTCCTTTGATCCACAACAAGATAGTAAACTCCTTAGGAAGCTCATTGCAATATATGTAGTCATATAAGAATACTATAACAGCGCAATTACTACGTTAAGGGATGCAAAATCCCAATAATGTTAGAGAAATAAACCATCAAACTGGAACATTAAACATCAATTTGTCATAAACTTTTCAAAAGTGATGTTTCGCATTAGAAATATGGCATCCTACATCACAAAAATTAAAAATTAAAAGTTAAAATACCAATAACATTACCAATCGAATAACACATAAAAATAAAGGGAAAAAAAAGTCATATCTCAGTGAAAATATTTCAGAAGACATTCTCATTCAACCAAAAATCAAATTAAACAAAAAACAAAACTAAAAAATAAATAAATCAGTTCAGCAATATAATAATCAAAGTAGAACAAACCTTCCAAAACTTCATAACGAATTCCCATTCAGTCTCAGCAACAACCACGAAAAACGCAATCAAAACCGCATAGCATCTAAAAATTCCGTCAAAAACCTAAAACCAAAAACGACATAAAACATAAAAACCAAAAGCAAAAACGACGCAAAACATATAAATATAAACCATTCAACATACATCGGATCCTTTTTTGAAGGAGCGAATGGCAGAGAGAATGTTGACGGCAATGCAAAGAAGAGCGCTGATAGAAGTCACCAATTTGAAGCCTCTGCAGACCACCAAGAGCGCATCTGGCCGCGTCCGGAGTCTGGTGTTCGACGATGAACGCGGCGGCTCCGGTGCGCTCTCTCCTCCTCCGTTTCCATTTCTCGGCATTTTCTCACGATTACGAGAAGTTCAAATTCAATTTTTCATGGAAAACGACATAGTTTTATCATGGTTTGAAGCTTGTTTAATATTAATTGAAATATCTTTCTTTTGTTTTCTTTGTTGTGCTTGTTGTGCTTGCTTTCTGAAAGCGGGATTCTAATTCTTTCACCTGCTATTCAAGGAAGGAAGTCTCCGTTTTGTGACTGAAAGGTGCCGTTAAAACAAGGTCGTTGGAAGGACACGTGGCCGTAGCCTTCTGTTAAAGTTAAAGGTTCATATTTTCCTTTAAGATGAGTTCTAATGGAGGAAACGATTAATCAGAGTCAGAGCCATTCCTTTCTTTTATATATTCTAATTTTTTATTTATTAATTATACTATTTTTTCGATTACGAATTCTGAATATTTTATTTTTAAATCAGTTTAGAATAACTTATTTAAAAAATTCTCTTTAATCATTATAATATAAATTTATTTTCTTTTGGTTTATTTTAATTGTTATGCTTGGGAAAATAGGGCTGACGTGACATCCAGTTAAGTGCGAAAAGTCAGACCTCGGGAAGAGTTTACTGACATTCTGGCGCAGCCGCGTCATGTGATTACGGGTACACCCACAGCCTGCTTCCGTCAGAATAGTGGGTGCACGTCAGGCCAGCCAAGAGCTGTGATGATCCCGCGTGTCCAATCCCTGCAGCAAATCATGTGAATTACTCTAGAAGATAGGTAATGTGACATAAAGAAGGATTTGCATGGATCTTCCCACTAATTTACAGATTCAGTGATCATTACCTCAATGCATCCCAATATAAGTTGAGAGCTCCTCTCTCATTAAGGGGATTCACACATTTTTACTCTGGACCAGCCACTCTCTCTCTAGAAAAGACAACATTTGATACCTTGTATTATCAGTGTAAAGTCAGTCGTCTAAAACGACCTGACCCTTATCATTAATACAAACATCAGTGGACGTAGGACTTGCTTCCTTAGCATCCGAACCACTTTAAAACTCCCTTCTCACTGCATTTACTGTCATTTTCCTTTCCATTCACGTGTGTCTTTTGGGCCAGCTCAACATTTCACACGTGCGTTTCATTGGTGTCAAAATCACGCATCAACAGTTTGGCGCTAGAAGGAGGGCCTGATTTAGTGTTGATCCTTCATCAGGAGAATCTCCAACCTACCGGTCCTACAACAGCAAATGGCCCGCCAACCAAAACCTAAGCAAACCAATCAGGGTGCTGAAGGGCTCCCCCAAGTTCAAGGGGACACTTCTCCCAAAAAAGTTTCAGCCCCACAAAATGCTGCAGGAGATATCCCATCAAGTTCACAGCTTGACCCTGCTATTAGAAGCTACCTGGAGAGGTTTGACAATACTCTCCAGACGGTCAACTGAAGGCTGGACCGTTTGGACCAAGGCGTGTCATCCAAGTCAGTTGCGGCGGTGCAACCGCCAAAAACGCCTGCAGGTCCCGCGAAAGTGTGGCAAAGGGAAATAGCCCGTGCCGCGAGCACTGCAGCGCGTAGACGAAAGGGTAAGCAAGTGGCAAAAAACAATCCCACGGGCTCCAAAGCCAGCAAACACCGACAGTGCCCCAAGTAGAATACCAGTCTCGTTAAGACTCGGTGAAAAGATGCAGCTCGAGCTGTCCCATGCCATGTCGCAAGTGCAAACCCATAAAAGTGCTGGACAGGGCGATTCTTATCACCACCAGCAAAACGATCCTGATCGTCACCGTGCGAGAGGGTCCCACACTTCGCCGGGCGTTTCTTACCACCGCAAAGGTCGTGAAAATACCTCACACCTTTCATCGCCATCACACGCCTCTAGCCAGTGTGTGTCGAGAGTGGCCGGAACTGCCGGTCGAGGCGAAGAGGAACCCGACCTCCGGACTTTCCTCAATCATAATCGCGAGGGTCAAACTCGCATGGGTGAAAGCAATCCCCAAGCGGCTCCATTGCCATCCATTGCCACAAATTGAGGAGCTGCAGCGAGCCTAGACAGACTACGAGCTCAGCAAAATGAGCAGGGGCAGGTCGCATCTGCTTCCCCCTTCTCTCCCGAAGTGTTAGCCGCTCCACTCCAATCAGGATTCAGGATGCTCGACATGCTGGCATTTGATGGAAACTCCGATCCGCAGGATCATTTATATGAATTTAACGACCTGATGGAGTTTCACCAAGTCTCAGATCTAGCAAAATGTCGTTGTTTGGCAATGACTTTGACCTCTCATGCCAAACGGTGGTTCAGGTCGCTCCCAGCGAGATCGATCAGTTCGTGGCCTCAGATGAGCGCGACATTCCTAAGGCATTTTCAAGCAAATCGAAAGTTCTCGATGCCTTTGAGCTACCTCAGCAATATAAGGCAAGAAAGGGATGAATCCCTTCAGTCCTACATTGACCGTTTCCACAGAGAACTCAACAAGGTGGCTCATACTCTCGAAGAGTCTGTTCGGACTCTCATCATAGCCGGAGTTCGTCCATAGACCAACCTGTGGAAAGAATTACAGGTTGAGGACGATGTTTCCCTCACTAGATTCTATAACCTTGCGGAGAAGTACCTCTGGATAGAAAATTCATTGGCGGTACTCCGTCATAGTGACCCCGGCGCTTCGGGCAGTACACCTGGTCGGTGGGATAGTCGAAGAGCTGATCACAAGGGGGACGCAGACGATCATTAAAGAGGGAAGAAACCTCATTACAAGCCCAAAAAGTCCTATGCTCTCGTCCCTCGTCACAATCGCGACAGAAACCAATATACTCCACTGAACGCATCTGTATCGGCTATTCTTGATAAATCCGAGGAGGCCAGCCTGCTCGGAGAGCTCGAGCCCATGAAAACTCCCGCGATAGCTAGAAATAATAAAAAATATTGTCTCTATCATCAGGACAATGGGCACCATACCGATGAATGTCAAGCTCTCAAGCAGGCGATCGAAAACCTCATCAAGTAGGGACATTTCAAAGAGTATATTGATGACTCTGCTCCCTCACAAGAGAAAAATCAGGGGGAGCCAAGTAAGAAGCGCAGCGATCAGAAAGGAGTGTGCACCCTCAATTTAATTTTCGGGGGACCGCACTTCGCGAAGAACTCGCGAGGCGCTCAAGAAAGGTATGCTCGCGAGACACATCACGAGCCCATCAGAACGATGAGCGTGGCACAGCGACCACAGAAGGTTCGCCGGGAGGAGGAAATTTCCTTCTCCAAAAAAGATGCGGCCCTGCTGCATCATCCTCACGATGATGCACTTGTGATCATGCCCCTCATAGGGCGCCATAATATCCAGAGAATGTTAGTAGATAAAGGAAGTGCTGCGAACATCCTATTCACTTCAACTTTCGAAAGAATGAATTTGGACGAGGCCGACCTGAAGCCTACCTCGTTCCCTCTATATGGCTTCACAAGGGACCACCTACTCCCCAAGGGAACGATCTCACTCTCAGTCACGCTGGGTGACTCCGACGAGGTGACTAGGGTAATTGAGTTCTTGGTAGTGGATTGCTCATCCGCTTTCAATGGAATCTTGGGGCGACCTCTGCTGAGACACTTCAAGGCAGTCACTTCAATATACCATTTGAAGATGAAGTTTCCCACCCCGACGGGGATTGGAGAAGTTAACGAGTCTCAGCGCGCATCTCGCAACTGCTATGTGAAAGCAGTGCAGATGGCATGCAAAGGCAAAGGCACTTCACGCGGCAATCACAACCAGGCAATGGTGATTAGCCGGATCGAGCCACAACCTGGCCCAGCCGAGGATAATATAGATCCTCGTATTCAAGACTGCCCTTCCAGTGGGCCAGTTGAGGACCTGACTGAAGTACTGGTCGACCAAAACGAACCAAGCAGGGTATTAAGGATCGGTAAAAATCTCAATCCCTAGCTCGCTACCGAANAAACCTTACAACAAAAACGAATACGATAGTGAACAGTAATGCATAAAAATAATAACTTTAGGATGAAAATATCAACAATGAATCAAAACCCAGTGATGAAAACAAAAAAAAACCAATAGTAAGGATTTTCGTGACTCACCGGTGAAAGAAAGAAACCTTCAATTTGAATCGAAGCGTGCAAAACCCCAGTTGAGATTTTTAGGGTTTAGGGTTACAGACTTGTCTAAAACTACAAAACCGACCCGGCTCAATGATATGACCTCAGGAATTCGATCTAGCCGGCCCATTGGGCTTTTGGATTCAAAATTTCAGAACTGAGATTCATTTTTCAAAAATAAATAAATTGAGGCTTGGTAGCACTTTTTTTTTTTAAATTGTTTTAATAAATAAAATAAAATAAATTTGTGAAACATTTTGTGTTAATTTTTGTAGATACTGAAATTAATGGTGAATTATTATACAATTTATTTAATCTAAACTCATTTTTCTATTTGATAAGCTATATAGTGCAAAAAAATGAAAGGAAAAAAAATTCATAAATGGATATAATTATTGACATAACTTAGTAAAACAACATTATTGGAAAAAAAATTAAGTTTCATTATAAACGCAACACTTATTTTACGTAGTCACAAAAACAACGCAAGAAAACAATTATACCTGAAAGATCATTGAAATGGGGAACGTGTTGAGAATATAAAGAAAAACAACTCAACAAAAATAAGAATATATTAAGAATAAATTTCCTAATATTTTAGTCAAATAATATTTACGGAGGAAAAAGATAAATTATGTTAAATGACACTATTTTAGGGGTGGAGTTGTAAAGTAACATTTTTTTTTAAAACTTTCCTATAAAATAGCAAAAGGGTATTTTACACAAATGTGAACTACAAAAATGCCCTCATTTATAAATGAACCAACCCATTCACCCATCTTTTTCAAAGTTGGGCTAGTTCTTACCTCCATTAAACTGAACTTATAAACAAATTCTTAATTCGATTTTGTATGTAGAAACATGTTAATTAGGATTTTTTTTTTTAATGAGATGGTTAATATTGGTTGTTTGCGTTAATTTTTAACGGGTTATTTGCACTGTCATCCTTAAGGTTTGAAGTATATTGCACTAATATCTAATACAATGAGATATGAACAATTTAGTTTGGTCAAGTTAAACTTTTCAATAAAAAGTCTATAATACCGTCATTGTCTTATGCACATGTTATTAGAAATGAAAAAAATATATAGTAAAAAGTAGAAAAAATATACTTTACATCTAAAAGAAAAAAAAATCAAATTTTGATAAGAGTATTGATTACATATATAATAGGAATAATAAAGATAGACTAACAAATATATCTCACA